TACTACAATGTCATCATTCTTTCAGTTTTATGAAATTGGAAACAAAATTAGCACATGCCATGTTCAGCAAACTCTTTTCATGATTTGTTTCGTATTTCACATTCATGGCTACGTTTTGATTCCATATTGAGCTCCTTAGTACCTCTTAACTGCAGCCAGAACATGTTCTTCTGGCAAGGTGCCTTCCCTCATTATTTTTTTTCTTTTATCTTTTATGGGTTTCATTTGCCTAGGTGAACTTCATTGACTTGGATTTGAGACCTTTAAAGAAGATGGAAGACTATTATGAATTGGACAAGAAGATATTGAACAGCTACTCTCGAATTTTGTAAAGGGAGCATAAAGATGGCAATGCTGGGAGCATGGATGCTTACGAAACATAAATTGAGTTTCAACAAGACTAAAGATTATTGTTGTAATGCTTGTAACTTATAAGAGTGCAGATGGAAACTGTTAATATTTTGGTTCACAAACTCTTCGCTCTTTAGCTTTTAGGGAGATTGAATCTCCCTTAAAAATGTAAACTTCAGCATACCCAAAGTAGTTTGGGATTGAGACTTTGTTGTTGTTGTTGTTTTCTAAAATTTAATTTGTCTTTTCTTACCTCTTTTATGGGAATTGGGGTAGCAGACGAAATTAGTCTTACTTTTTGCGTTTTGGCTTTGAGTGCTAGCACGCTAATTGGTTGTTGTGCGAGTAACTTCTTTTTGACCCATTATTTGATGTATTGCGTTGATAGCCTTTGCCAAAACAAACTTGATACTCTTGGTTCTTACTTCCTTATCTGTGACCATCATATAATGCCCCATTGAATAATCAACGAAGACATCAGCCTCTTGATTCTGATTATTATAAATTTCTCTTCAAATTCTGCCTCCAAGTTCTCTTTGTTAAATGTTTAAAGTGCATAGAAATTTTGAATATATACATTGACAATGTGACCACATAGAAATTTAGTCAATATCTTATCCTCTGTTGTTAATTAAGAGGAGTTTAATGAGGAAAAGGTTGAAAGGGACACGCACCCTTGGGTTCAACAGGGAAAGTGATGCATCGACTACAATACAGCCATTCCACTCCCAAGCCCACACGGGCTATAACTTTGTACAGCTGGATTTAAATTTATTGCGGCATATGGGAACCAAAATAGCAGGAATGATCACCCTTTACATTTCGCATTTGGAAGTTCGAGGCAGTTTCCTTTGTCAAAACTATTGCATCGATTTTTCCTTGATCTTTTCTCTTTGCTGTGTATGGATATTTGAGTTCTTTGTCAATATTTGAATATACGGAATGGTTAAATGTGGTGTCCAAAAGCATGAATCAAAATTCTATTTTCTCAGTTTTTCCCTGGACTGGTTAGCATATTTAGTCAGAGCTAGTGATTTTCCATTTTTGAATCCGGACTTGATCTGTCTGGTTTGGAAGCTCCTTTTCCTAACTAGTTTCTGAATATCAAATTTTACAGAACGATGATATTGGAAATCAGCTTGCGTGTTGCCTGCAGCCGGTAAGGAAGACTTGACTAGTGGATGGCCAGGTAGAACAATCATGCATGGGTTGATTGGTAGACTGTGGCTGCTCCATGCACTCAACAATGATCTGCCAAGTTGTTGAGGGCATCTGTGTGCTTAGATCAGGATCCATTTTCGACATCTTGAAATTTGAGGGCAGCAAAAAAGGACGAATTTGTGGCAGAAGTGGGAACAAGTAGCTCCCATTCATCTGACTCAGTTCCAAGTAAGCTAAACTGAGAAAATGAATGACACTACAACACGCAATATCAGTTTACTATTACCATCATTCTAGATTAAAAGCCACATCTCGGTACGCCTTTAAAACACCACAGCTTGCACCTGATGGGGCTACTAACACAGTACCAAATATTAATGACACTCACTTTTGGAGAGATGTAGAGTGCCATTAATGCTTGTAGATTGTTCATGGTTCTACCTCGTTCATCTCTTCCTCACAACGGAAGACACGCATCTGCATATGTTGATCCGTGTTTGTCATCTGCATATTTTTTCTTCTATATGCTTGGCAATATATTGCTTGAGAATCTGTTGCACTGGTGTGTGAAATGGCAAAATCAACTGCATCGATGATCTGAGATAGGCTGAATCTAAAGGCATGTTGTAGATGAAAAGTCTTGGAGGGAGGAGGGTGAGTAAATTCTGCAATAAATGCATAGATGAGGTAACAGTTGAAACCAATCAAGTACCTTCTGACAGGCATTTACTTATCACCTACTTGTAGTATTTACTTTATTTAGGCCTCAGCCAAACTTATCCCAACATCATGAGAAAGTAAAAGTATATACTATCATTTAATTATTATTACATGATTGAGGTAAAATAAGTGTACCAAACAATCTATTTATATCAACGCTGAATCCTACCATACCTTCTGTATCCATTGCATAATTTATTTGCGCTCTGTCAAACCATGTCAAAGGTTGTCCTTCCTGCACTCTTAAAACACTATATGTCCTTTTAAGTTAATGTGATGTTTTATCTGGAATGATTTTACTTCTCTTTGTCCTGAGTCATTTCTCTGCACACGCTGACACTCTGCAGTACTTTTTCAGCAAGTCTATCGTGGCTTAAATCTTTATCTGTTTTGAGCTCAGAGAAGGTACGGAGAAAACTGACTTTATTTTTCTGTGCAGAAAACAGTTGTGTCAGTGCAACTGCTCTGTTCAAAATGCAGGCAGAAGGTGATGAAGTTAATTGCAACAATAGAAGGGATAACTTCTATTGTCCTCGACCCATCAAAGAATACGGTCACAGTGATTGGTGAAGCTGATCCAGTGAAGATCATTTGCAAGGTGAGGAAATTTAGAAAATCTGCTTCTATTATGAGCGTAGGGCCTCCCAAGGAAGAGAAGAAAGACATGGTTATCCCTTGCACTCCAAAGGTATGTCAGAGATGCGATGTGTGGTATGTCGTTAGTGACGATTTTTACGGTTATTGCACCATTATGTAAATAAGAAATCTCTTGCTGCACCGAGCATTTGCAATGCTTAATATGTTCTGTTTCATGGCCTATGATCCACTCATGGGTTTTCGTCAAAAACTGATATTTTGGTTGAATCGTTGCTTTATTTGCTTTATTTGAAATAACGCATATTGTTCACCGGAAGCATTATCATTCTCATGCCTTCACCAGTCTGCTATACAAGTAATTATAATAGAACTATGTACTTAATTTTTTTACCAATGGAAGTCTTAGCCTTTTATTTTCCACGCAACTAGAAGATAAAGCATGTCAATCAAAGTTTTGTTTGTGTTTGCAACCAACCAACCTCAACTCTTTGATCCCGCAAAGTCCATAAGCTGTTGGTAGTATAGATTTCCCCTGTTGATAGAATTCGTACAGTCTATTCCTTATCTATAGACGTCTTGTAAGGAGACTCATTGCACTTCCACTGAATGATCGAGGTTCATTCAGTGGGAGAGCACCATGTCCTGTTAGAGCCTCGTCAAGGATGTGTAAGCTTCTGGCATAGGATTTATTATACAGTTACTGCAGTAGCTGCCTGTTGCCTCCCCCACAGGAGTCGGGACCGCATGATAGTAAAAAAGAAGAGGATCGAAGCACCTCGACTAATCTTCCTTGAAAATTTACTGCTAACATTTAAGGAGGAGGCAAGAATTGGCCATCCAAGTTATTACTAGCCATATTACATACTATATCTTAGTGCTTATCTATATTATCTCCTATGGTGGATGAACTGTAGTTAGAAAGAAAATGAACATGAATTGCAAATTAATGACCTTGGGTTAAAGAGCTGGCCCGTTAATGAAAATCTTAACAATATGGTAATGCAGTCTGCTTGGACTTCATGTAACAATTGGTTCGTAATGTCTATGTTTTTTCTTTAATTTTAAAGAAAACTAAAGACCTGTGAAGGTGTGCCGTTGGGTTGACAAAAACTCGATGGAGTGTTTGTTTCTCCGACATGAGGTTTTTTTGGTATGTGGACATGGAATTACGAAAAACGATAGAAGATAATTGAGTGATGTCTCTATTTTTGTTAATGTAAGAATCAAGCTCATTTTGTGGAAAAAACTTGGAAGTGGTCACACACCTTAATTTCTCCACGTTTAGACTTTATATAACCATCCGTTAAGAGAATTAAACATGAACCCGAGATACTAACCTAAATAAATAAGTATTTTTTAAATAAATATTTTATTTAATAAAGAATAAATAAGATATATATATATATATATATATATATTATTAAATTCGATTTGAAATTCATCTGAATATAACTTGGAATATATATTTATATTATATAAATATATTTGTAGAACATTTATTTTTTTAATATATATATTAACTATTTTATTTTTTATTAAATAATAATGAATAATAAATACTTATATAAATATTCAAAAACAGGTGGTTGTCTCTCAACATTAAGTTTTTTTGGCATTGAATAATTTAGTAACTGTGCAATGATCGAATGAAGTTCATTGGGCTGAGAACCCATTTTCTGTTGGGTATATGGGCTGTATTTAGCCAACACCCCGATTAACATGACCCCTAATATTGGGCCTACCACTTAATTCCCAACTAAGAAATATTAGCCCACGGTGTGTGTGGTGAACAGCCCATTTAGACGATACCGTTTCCGAACATTACATACACATTGAAGATACGGAAAGGCTTCAAGAAACAGGGTTCGATAAAAAAAAATATTTAAAAAAAGTCTTAACATGTGCTTCACAAGTGTAGAATATTGTTGAGCTCTTTCTCTACGGCGTCGTATGTTTCACCTTGAGCATTTGACTACATAGAACAGGAAAAAAAAAAAAATTCAAATCAACAGTCAGTGAGGACATTTTACCTGCGCAGTTGTCGAATCACACTAACAAGCCACAAGAGCACTATCTGTAAATTAGATGAAAATCACAACATCACGGACAACAGATGAAAAGCATCCGATGACTGATATCATAGCAAAGAAATAAACGAAATCTGACATTACTGTCTTCCAAAAAGACATGCTGTGATTGATAAGCTCTTAGGATTCTTGTTACCTTGGTTGCAAGAAGTCGAAGAGATTAAGCACATGAGCAGCCATCAGAAAAACGAAGACGTGAAAAAGAAAACCAGAAGGAAACATTGAAGGTGGTTAAGATTCGACAGGGTAACCATCCTGCCTTGTCATCTGCCACTTGAGATAATTTCTTCAGCCAGTCTTTCATACGTTTCTTTTTTTTATGAACGAAATAGTTTCATTAATCAAACCAATCAGCAGTCAAACTATCCTGCTTGCAGACAAAAAAGTGTTTACAAAGAAGAAGAAACCAATATCAACTGCAACAAAACATTAATATCTTCAAGATATTACAACTGACATATCTCAGAGAACTTGGAACTTTAATATAGCTTCCTGCAATAAATTGGATCTGTAAACAAACTATTTTGAACTGCTTGTATGATGCATGTATTCATCACGTTTCTCAAAAATCATCTTCGGAAGAAATGAGAAATCCTTTACCTCAAACCTATTAGAACTCGATTTACCGTCATTACACTTTCCACCAGTCTTTCCAGCAATAGTTTCATTCTCAGAGTTCCTCACATGAACATAAGTTACAAAAGAATATCGAATGCCATTTTCAACCAATGGTGGAGACGAATACCAAGGCTGAAACTTAGAAAAATCAATACTTGGAATGAACGTATCACATTCAACACTCGTCTCAATCTCCGTAACATGGATGGCATCACATCCTGGACCATTAAGTGTTTCCCTGCATCAAAAAACCAAAATATTCTGTGTCGCACAGTTGAGACTAGCACGGAAAGTAAAGCATTCATTGACTTGCAAAATTACCTCAATATCTGGCCACCTCCTATGACAAAAACCTTATCAATTGAGAAACAATAGGGAGCTTCAGCCAACAATTCCAAAGCTGAGGAAATGCTCCCACATGTAATAACATTTTCTTCATCTTCAATCTCAAAACTCCGAGTGAGGACCACATTCAATCGACCCGGAAGAGGTCGGTACTTGATAGGAATACTTTCCCATGTTTTCCTACCCATCAAAATTGCATTTTGTTTCCCAGGATCCGATGTGGCAAGTGTAATCTCCTTGAAAAACTTGAGATCAGAAGGCAATCTCCAAGGTAACTTTCCATCCTTTCCAATCCCCATATCTCGAGTAGGAGCCACCACAACTTGGTAACTCCTCATTGGAATCTCACCCGCTATAGCAGTAAATCGACTGTAATTTGCAGTTAAGATTTGAAATTTAAACAGCGGTGAGGTTGCAGCCAAAGAAGCTGAATTGCAGAAGCTGGATTTGCTAGAATTCAGTAAAACCTAAAACAAAAAAATTAGACATGCAATTAGGGTAACTATATTAATTGGAAAATAAATAAAAAAATCCAAGAAAAAAAAATGTTTTGTGAAAAGTGAAATACCTTAGACAGGAATAGAGTCCTTTGAGTACAATAATGCAACATCATCTGAATTATCTCCTGAATTATGATGAAATAGAAATTCTTATGAGGAAAAAGGACTTTAATTTTCTGTTTAAACGCCAGATCGTAGGAGGTGCTGACCGCCGGCGAGATTTCGAACTGGAGCTGCGGTGGCTCTATTCCAGCAGCCAAGCGAGGGTCGCATGGGCTACATGTTGTTTATTTAGGAGGGCTATACCATGGGCTGGTACTCCGTGACTAGGGTATCGACCCATTATTCTCTTAATTGATGATGATGTTTGGGTGCGATATAATACAATGAATGTAATTAATTGTATTTTATTTTTATTTACAAACTTATCCTTATTTGAAAATTTTCTGGCCCTTAAATTTTTTTAAAAGTACAATTTAGTCCTAACAAAAATTTGTTGATAATTATGTTTTCACGTAATTATTATTAATCGTGTAATAGCACATTATATAGCTTTTTATTATTTTAGATAATGTAATGAATCATCATAGTTGTAATGGTCTATTACATTATAATTTTAAAAGTTACAAAATCAAATATAGAAATATAATTAATAATTATATTATATGATTTATTAAACTCAATTAAACATGCAGTAATAGGTTAATTAATGGTTAAATTGATCAGCAGCCAGACCAAACAAATTATTTGCTGCACCTATTTTATTGGTCTGCTCTATCAAGTTCATATTAAGATTTTAATATAATTACAAGAAAAGCTGCGGATAGGAAACAAAGAAGCCATCAAGATGATGGCTAGAGACTAGAGCCCGACAGCCAGAGATGAGACACACACACACACAAGACAAAACCCAGCCATGAAGGAGGCAACCTTCAGAAACGAAGACAGCTTCCAACTATTACATGGGTCAGGAAACTGAGAAAGCAACGATGCGTGCTGCAGATTATTTGAATTCAAACACGAGGAAACAGACGACTACAGCACATGTGATTCACTGCACTCTAATGTTCCACTCCTAGGGCTTGTGCGCTGTGTTCAGCTCGTGGTTCGAGTTATTAAATAACTGTAAGATGACCTTAATTAATAATTATACTCCATTTTTATTTGGAAAAATCACTCCATCCTTCATCTTAAGAAAAAACTTGTCTCGCAAAGGTACAAATAGTCAACAGAACTGCAAATAGCAATAGCAAAATTAATTAACAACCTCCTTGAAAAATATGCACCTGCACCCCCATAACCATTCTTAAATCTTAAGCTCTGGTTAATAATGTAAAAAGAAAAACTCATTAACCAAACCTCTAGAATATAATATAGCAGCCACATATTCAAAGCAAGGGATCGGTCTATTTGCACAGTTTATACTTCCTCATGGTAAATGTTCACATCCTTTCCACTGCCCACACCCTATACAAAATGACTTTCGGGATATCTATTTACAAGGAAAAAAACGACATCACGCCAACTTAACGAGATAATGGTATGTTCCTTGCCTCTTGGTGCAGATAGACAAAAAGTCAACTTCTCATGATTAATTCTGTCGGGCTTGCATTTCAATTTCATGTAGAATGGACAATGCAACGAAAACGCTTCTCTTCTTTTATTTTTTCGGTTCTCTCTTTTTAGTCCGCAGGTGAAAGCCAAGCCCGAGCCCATGGGGCATGGGAACACCAACATGCCAATTACAGCCACAAATTTATTGGGTCTCCTCCTCTGTTCATTCAATGCACATCCATCCAAGTGCTATATCTCCACATACAAGGAACTTCCTAACACGAATCATCTTCTCTCGAGAAGACCAACTACCACAGGAGCAACTACTCCAGCCCTCTTTTTTTTATGGACACCAAATTCTCAACCAATGTAAATCGGAATAGTACCTTATATGTATCTGGAAGATTAATTATGGAAATTGATGGAGTGGTATCAAGACCACACTAATATATTCCTCCTGTACAGAAACCTCTTGACCAGCAACACTTCTTTTTCTGCATCAGGCAGGCGAAATCTTAATCCCAATAAATGAAACATGGTGATTTCGGTCTGTGCTTTAAAATGCAGATGTAAGACTATAACCTTACCTGAAAACTTGCTTGCTCACGACCATCTACATATGCAAGAAGTTCTTCTAGCCTGATCAAAGCTTCGTGCAAAGCCTTTAAATGAGAAGCATGATGGTTAGAGATATGTCATGTGGACCACAACAACAACAAAATTCTTTTCCATCCAAAGGAACATATTACCACATTCAAGAAAAAACCAAAAGCAAGTGGTTTGCTACAGTCATCAACTTCGATAAAAGACTAAACCTTTATCAGAAAAGGCAAATTTCATGCACACATGACTCTTGTGAGATGAGAATCCAGTGCCCACTTCATTGTCCAGCTCATTTTATCTAAATTTTTTTTTCTTCCAGATCAGAATGAAGAGGCATTCATTCATCGAGAAATCCTAGTGGCATCACAAGTTTGATTTTCTTCTCATTTTTTTCCCACCAAACAGGGTCATTAGTCTCATGACTCCTTAAAGATGATAATCAGATACCTAGTAGTTCATCATGTAATCCATACAAAACATGGCCCGTGGAGATGTCATTTAGCTCTAACAAAATAGGTTTTACATTACTTATGTTCTGATTAAACAAGAACTCCTAAAAGTTCTAGTTATTTGTTAAATGCAGAAAAAACAGGGGCAAAGAGCCATCAGGAAAAAAATGAGGTGTTGGCATATAAACCTGTTTAGCATGTCCAACACTCAGATCCAACCCCACCCCAACACACATGGAGATTCATGTATCTAATAGCTTCATGTTTGGTTGGTGAAGGCTTATTTCTCCCAGCAGAATATATAAGCAGGAGAGACAGTTACCTTTTTCGTTGCAATTAGCTCTGCTTCTAATGCATCCACACGATAAACTGCAGCATTAAGCAGCTCCTCCTTTTCACAGGGCATCTGAAAAGGCTTTGTCTGTAATGTACCAACCTTCTCCTCAAGTTCACCCAGCCTTTTCATGACAGATGAAAGAAGGTCTGCCTCTGTAAACCCTGGAGCAGGAGAAGGGGGTCTGAATTCCTCCTTTGGTGCTGTTTCAAAAGTCAGGTCAGTAATGTCACTGGCAGAATCAGATGCTGGGTGTTTCTTAGTATTCCAAAATGCCATTGAACGAAAGAAGGCAAGAAAGGTTATGAAGAAGGCCACAAGCAAAGCCCAGACACGACCAGGGATCCCTTCTGAAGTCTTCTCTACACTTAATGGAGAAGGTGTGCCTGCAACCAATTTCATTAATTTTATTCAGCGCATGATATAATATCATATCAAATAACATTGACTCCAATTTAAACTAGTGAAGTCTTCGTGAAATCCAACTAGCCATGTGGATGCCCCTTATCAGAAAAGATAATAGAGCATAAACCTAAATCCAGGCAAAAAAAGATCTGGGACTGTCAATTAATGTTCTCCCAAAACAATAGGAGTCTTTAGGATCTCCATATCAAGGTAATCAAAGGTTATGCTTTTATATTAATGTATCGTACATACAACCTACTACGATTGGTGTTCTTTTGACTTCTCCAGAGGAAACACGAGGAAAATGGAACTCTTATTAGTGAAACTACAATAAAAGGGTTATTACATTTAACTTCATTTCAAAGTTCACTTCTCAAGGCTGCCGCAATCCTATGCCTTCATATGTTGGAACTCCCACCAAGCATTAACTGCTACACAACGTTCTTCTACAGAAATTTTGTTAACTTGTTTTTCATCAAATGATACCATCTTGTTCAAAGGTTCTAAAAATCTACATCAGTCGTTAACTATTACCGATCAGAATTTCTCCATACGATAGAGTTGGTAGCAAATAAGAATGGTGCAGAAACTTGCTAACCTCTGGAAGTACGTAAATCTTGAAATTCAGCATCCACTGTCTTGTCAATCATAGGTATGTATTCATCATATTCAGAGACACTGGCAGTACTCATCCTACCAGCCATCCTGGCCTGTATAAAACATCCAAGCATGGCCTATGAGATCAATTAATTTCAGATATTAGCATTATACACACGCACAGACTCTGCATTTCATGCAAGGAAATGGATTCTGTTGGAAGATACGTTAATGCATCAGTCTTCTAGACTGAAAGTCTGAAACAACTTTAACTGAACTTCACATAGACTCATACACTTAAACTTTCAGAAAAGCTTACTTCTTCAGAGACAGGAGCCAGCCTTGGCAGCAAATAGCTCTCGGTTGGTTTAGGAGAGACAACATCTTCCACTTCAGATCCTGACTCTGCAGTGGATGTATCACTTGTTTTTACCTGGTTTAGCCACAAATAAAACCAAATTTAGAAGCAAGCAGTCGAAATACTATGTTACAAGACAAAAACTGTCCCGAGAGAATTTACCTTCACTGGATAGAATGGCTTATCAAGAGCAATTACCCTGCCCCCACTATTTGAAATAGTTACTATTTGTCTGGAATACAGTGCTTCGCCACTATGAACCATCTGGACACAGGCAAATAATCATATAGCATGAGTATATCAGAAAAAAGCTTAATTAAAAAAAGGGTTTCAAAATACAACAGCACTGCTGATAATTTCAAGTAACTACCAACCTTTAAAATGTTTGGATCTTTCCATGGCCCCCTATCGGATTTCATACAACCTCCCTGATCAGCACAAGTACAGCTACCCCCAAGAAACTCAGGCAACTCACTGAACAAATTCCAAGATATTTTAAGAGGTTTTAGACAATATGTATAATTGAAATGGATGATGATTAGCAAGGAAATAATCATAGAATTGGTTACCTTGAGTCTATTATTTCAAGTAACTTGTTCTGGTACTTGTTACCAAGAACCTGTTAAAATTCCAAAATCAGCTAATATACTTCTGTTAAACTGTAAATGTTTTGCAATTCAACAACATTAAGGAAAGGACTACTCACATGAATCTTGGAAGCTGTGTGGGAATCAATAAAAGATTTCACTGTTTTCCAAAGCAGCTTAAAACCGGGACCAGCATTAATGACATACATTCTGCAAAGTGTCTGCACAATTTGTTGTTTTAGCTCTTGTAATAAAATGAGATCCCAGCTTGATTTTGAGACGGAAGATCTAGTGTTAAAAAAAAAAAAGCTTCTATGAAAATTGCAAGAAGAATCACATGCCTCAGGATAGTTATCACCATCAATCTTCTGAAGCTGAATGATGAGTTCTCGTGCAGATTTGGTGAAGTTTTTCAAACCCTAAAGAACAATTTTTTTGAACAAGAATGCAGAAGGCAACAATCTTAATGAGTTACTGAACAAAAATTTGATTATTAATAAGGAAAAAAAGTAGCTACCATACAATTCCTTGCACATCCAAAATAGTTGTACTTGAATCAATGTGTCTCTTTGCAGCAATGGTGCAAGCTGGAAACTTAATCGCAAAAGTCCTTTCAAACTCCTGCACATGATATCTCAAATATCTTTCTAAAGTGGTCACTTCCATAAGTTTGCTGGAATCAACTTTTCCTAGTCTTTCGATGTAAACAGGTCTCCCATCCTTATCTACACCATGATAACCTTGAGGGTAGTACTTTCGAACTTCTTTCAACTCACCGAACTCAAATTTCTGAACAATAAAGTTTTCAACATCTCTTAATTAACAACGCATTACACTTTACATCAGAAGAAAAGGGAAAAACAGCAAGATTGTATGATACTAACTACTAAACTCAAGAACAGCCCAAACAGAAGGAAGAATTAAGCATACAGAAACAGAAAAGGATAGAATCAGTGTTACCTCCAAAATAGTGTCAGTACCGAAATCTTTCCTCCACTGTAGCATGTTGGTCCACATCTGTTTTGCTTTCTCGACATCAAACTTCCTTGCTTTTAAGAACCTGCAAAGTGAAACTCTTGGGTACTGAAGCTGCACAGAAGTTCTGGTAACTATGCCTCATTTTAAGCATCAACAAATATGTGACTATAGAAACATTAATAAAAGCTAGCACTTCTGATATGTACAATAAAACTGAATATGAAACAGCCACTATAGAGGCTCATATTAAAAGCCTATTTTTAATTGACTTTAAACCAATATGAACAGTGAAACTAACAATGTTAATCATCCTCCCTCTCATTACTTCTGCAACCGAAATAGAAATTCTGAAAGAAAAAGACAAACAGAACTAATGAATTACATGACAACGTATACTAGGTGAGGTCAAAGTGGAGATTCAAAAAGAAATCAGGAACACAATAACTTACATCTTAACATTGAAGACTTTACCAGCCAATCATTTTCCTTCTTTTTTTACAGGCCAATCTTAATTTATTTATTGACAGCAAGTGGCAAATTACACAGTCAGCCTCTCGAATATTATTCGGAAAAGGATGTAACAGCTAAAACACAACAAAATCCATTCAGAGTTTAAGGAAACAAGCAATCATTTAAGCAATCAATAAATTATAATACAGAGTCTAACAAGAAATCAATAAGAGGACATGTCAAGAATTAAAAACCTGCAGCAGCCCCGAGCATGACCTCTTCAAAATAACAGAAAGCACAGAAAGCAAGCAAGATATTTTATCATAACAATATAAGCACAACAAGCGAGCAAGGAAAAAGAACAAAGAACCTCAATAACATGTGATAATCATCATGCCTGGGAGGAAGCAAATCCTCCGAAATAAGTGCCTGTTTAAATGCATCTACAAGCCGAAGCTCCTCGACATCTCGAACATCCTCAATTGCAGCAGAAACCCCTCCACCAACACCTCCACTGCCGCCATTTTTTTTCTTGCTCTTCTTGAGAGAACGCCTGAATTTACTAGATGCCTTTATGGCTTTCTTTTTCAGACTCCCAATTCTAGTCTTCCTATCTTCCTCCGAGTTATCAAAATCCGATTTCCGCTCCCTTTTCTCATCATTACTAGAGAATCCCTCAAAGCCTAAAAGCCACGAATAGGATTAAGAAAAAAAAGTAATAGGAAATTTAATTTCAAGGTATTATAAAAATTCATTACAAATTAAACCACTATTACCTTTCCAAATTATCAAAGAAATGAAAGACAATTTTGGTACGGAATTCATGAGAAAAAAATTAACAGAAACTAACAATAATCGACAATTCAAATCCCTAGAATCCATTAAAGAAACAAATTATCAAATCAAAATCAATAGAAAATCATAGATTGAAGATGTTAAAGAAACAGAACTTACAAGGCCGAGCCAAGAGATCCAACGGACTCGACATGACGATAATTTAGGGATCAAGATTACAAAAAGAAATCAAAAACCAATTCGGTTGAGAACTGCAACAGTTGAATCGCTTATTTGGATCTGATTTTGACGAAATTAAGTATCTTTATGATCTTTTCGTGGACTCCTTGCTGCTGCTTATGCTTGTAGAGGAAAAAAGTAGTCGTAACGGAAGGAGAAGGAGAAGGAGAGTTACGATTTGGAAATTGACAAACTGAAGAAAACAAGATAGTGGTAATAAATAATAATTATTTGTGAAGCAAATTCAAGTTTAATATTTTAACTGAAGAAGAGTAGAAGGTGGAAAGGCGGAGAAACGGCGCGTGTAGATGCGGAATTGCCCGGTTAAACTTGATTTTGTTTGTGGGTCCTATAGCCACGCGGCCGTAAGAGGTGGAGCCAAGTGGGGTTTCAGCTCTGGCGGGAATTTTACTAGCCGACACCCACGGGTCACAGCAGTTTTGTTTTAATTGCGTTTTTCTTGAATTTGCAACTTGCAAGAATTAATTGCAAAACTTGAGGGTTATTTACTTACAATTTTGTGATAAATTGCTTTAAGAATTAATGAACATTGTTATTTTGCTTTATATTATGTCACATACATCATATATATATATATATATATATATATATTCATTTTTTTAATCAAAATAAATAATTAGTTCAACTAGTTAAAAAAATAAATTTTTTTATTTTTAATATTAATACACTAAAATTATAATGAAATATTAAATTAATATTAAATTAATAATTTTTACATCAAACTAATTTTTATTAAGGTTGTGTTTAGAAGTATATTACCTCTTAAAATATTTTTTATTTGAGAATATATTAAAATAATATTTTTTATTTTTTAAAAAATATTTTTAATATTAAAAAATTAAAAAAATCTAAAAATATATAAAATATTAAGTAAAATAAATTACAATATGATAAAATAATGGGTGCACGGCCGAATAAAGCACCCCCTAGAACGCGTATAAACACAGTTTTTACAACAAAAACAAAACTCACCGAAAGCAGGGTCGGTTCAGAAGTTTTATAGTCTAACCGATTTCTTGGTGTACTAGAGCTGCTCCAAAAACCATCCTTTTCATTTATCATTTTTTATCGACAACTAGATTCTCTCGGACCCTCGTTTAAAACAAAAAAACAAAAAAAAATCAGCTAAGATAAAAGAAACTCATTTTTCAGCTTCCGAGCCACCAAGATAGACTTAATAAGAAGCAAAGCCTGGTTCAAAGGAAGAGAGCCATCGGGTCCCTTGCTGATTCTGTAAACACTAGCGTGAGGTCATGTTCGGGTGGAAGCATGTTGAGTCGTGTCAAGAATCCTAACAACCTGAGGTCGCTCTTATTTATCATCCGCCATTTGGTCAATTCTTAAGATTTCCTTTGAGAAGATTTGAATTTTCTTCGGGTGGAAGTATGTTGAGTCGTGTCGGCATAACCCTTGGCGAAGAGATAACCTACTAAAGAAAATAATCCCAGAAATCATGTTCGGGTTGCCTCTCTCTCACGCATGGCTATGGTCCGAAGTTGATGGAGAACAACATCCAATTCTACCGTGTCAAACCAGGCTTCAAGCACAAAATAAACATGAACACGGCAACAAAGAAATGCAGGCAACGCCCTTTGAAAGGAGGCACTTGGGAAATCTTTCTAAACCTAAGGGGGGAGAAGAGAAGGGTCAAGCTGGAAATGCACTCACCAATCAGGCAATCACCATGCAGAGTTTCAACAGGCATCGAATCCGACAGAGACATTCGGACCTAGGAACAACGAGTATTAAATAAAACACACACATACAAGAGAGAGTCATCTTCAATATCATTTACTGGATTTCAAACATTTATTGGGTGCTGTGATTTTAGATACCCTTAAGACATGCTTTGGCAAAAGCTATAGAGCATAAAGCAGTGAAACGTTTGATGCCAAGGCAAATCTCTTGCGTGATTAAATAGCTAATGAGCATTGCCTTCCATACAAGTAATATGCGGGAATGAACTGTAGTCAATTGCTTCCAACATTACATTAGCAAAGTCTATCTATACATATATTCACAAACTTGCTACGTACATATGGATAAAAGGGGAAAGCGACATAATCCCGCCATCCTCATGAGCTTCCAACAATTGTTTATATGCACAAGTTTAAGCTGTGAGAACTGAAACAGCCAAGAATAAACAACCTGTTAGTTAATCTTTTTCAATTGAATCAAATCCAAGAAAATTTTCATTTGGAATTAATCACTGATTAGATTTCCACCTTTTACGTATATTTCTTCAAGTTCCTCTTTGCTCGAAATTGACCAAGTTTGTCTCTCCATTGAGCTGTAGAAATCACGTAAATTATGAAGATAGCAGCAGTGAAAATAACTAATTAGCATGCTAAAAGTATGGGGGCCACAGTGCGGTTTGAATAGACAAAGGGCACCTTAGGAAAATTTTGGAACCAGACCTTTCACAATGATGATCAGCAGGGAGTTGAAAAGTTTAAACCCGCAAGTTATTATTACATTTGACTTAGTGTTCAATCACAAGTTATTTATGTAGACTGGTATGTGCAGTGCAACGATACAAGCAAAACCAATCTGGTTTGTTTCAAATTGATGATGGCTATTGGCTAAATAGACAAAGGAAGCCACAGGGGGGAAAAAAGTGCAGGAAACATGCAAGCCAAAAGGCAATGGGCGAAAGAGATTGAAATGAAACATACCAGCATCTCCATAACGCTCCTCAATGGCAGCAGTCAACATGTTGCGCACAAGATCAAATTCCTTGGTATCAAGACAAGGTTGACCAGTGGGCCTGAACCATATTAATTCCAATTACACCTTTCTTTCTCAAAGCATTGGCATAATTTAGATGGATTCAATTACTTACTGTGCAAATTACTAATTCAGTTATCAATCTGAAAAGGATGCCAAACTATTGATAGTTAACTTTAGAGTCACACACAGTAGCTATATTCTTGAATCTAGGTAAGGCCACATTAATCCCTGAACATGGACTACAAAACACTTGCACATATACAGAGTCCTGACTTCACATATCTTGACTGGTGACCTGCTATCTAAAGATTTTGAGGCTCACCGATCTAGTTCAGTGAATAACAAGCCATTTGAAACATGGGACTGAATTGGCTTTCCAGATTCAATGACTCTCATCCCATCACTGTATGCCAGGTACTTATTGACTTGAATAGGAACCTGCACAGAGTTAGAAAAGATGCACCTCTACAAATCAGCAGACCAAGGACAAGTTTGTGAGGGGTTCAATTTAAACACATGAAAGAATGCTAAAATTCCAACAGGCTGCAAAGCGAGAACTCGAGAAACCAGCTGGTCACTTCAGCAGTTGGCCTCTAACAAGATTTATTTCAGTTTACTACTTATGTGACTCCACTGCAAATCTTGAATCAAACTTTCTCCTCTTTACTAGTAGACAAACAATTATCACAAAGTTTCTCTCTCTTTCCACTAAAAGGAAAGGGAAAATGATGCAAGAAAAACAGAGAAACAACTAACATCTTAATGATTGGAAGTATTAACTAGCATTTAAGTGTCAAAGTCTGCATCATGATTTGACATACTTCACCAAGATAAAGATTTAAGGATTTCACCATTACATGCACCAGATATGAAAGAGACATGAAAATCAATCTGACTCAACATTCCGCAACAAAGATGCATGCATTAGTATTTCACATTCACATATACCAGATACAAAAAGTCATACATGAATACCATTTCAGTCAACATTTTAAGGGCTTTTTTAAACAGGAAATTTCAATAGGGCTTGTGCCTTCACCCAGTCAAACAAACTTTGGCTTACAATATATTTGGTACACAGCCAACAAAAAGATACGAATTCTGTCCACAATTCCAAATGACATTTTACTTGAATGTCCTCCATCGTGTAGCTAACATGGTACTATTCTTCAAATTTTTCACATAAATGAGGGGGAAACAGGCAAGAAATGGAGTACCTTGCATCTAACTGCTATATTGATAGCATCTGATGGACGAAGATCAAAGCTGACACATTCTGTTTCATTACCAATCTGCAACAATGTCAAGGAGTGCAAACCCCTTATACGTGTAATTATACAAGTTAGTCAAATAAAATGAAAAACAAGGGGTATACCTTAGTGAGGTACAACTGGGCAAAGTATGCTTCATGCACTCTCTTAGTAACTCTTACAAGTTTGACCTGGGCATCATAATCAAAACATCGGAGTAAATTTATTTATTTTTTGGATAAGAAACATTGAAGTAAATTGGTAATATTTCAATTGCAGTGGCAAACAATAAGGAAAGAAGATTTCATATCTCCATAGATTTTCTACGTTGAAAGCTGTAATCTGCCATATGATATTAAGCTATTTGTACACTTACATGTTCTCAAGCCTAGCCTCTCTCTCTCTCTAATGAAAAGAAAAGAAGAAATACCAACTTACTTCGTAACCCATCTTTTCAACCATCTCCTTCACCACTTGATACATAGTCGGCCTTGCCTGGAAACCGACAGCCAAATTCCTCAGCATTGCTATATATGAAACAAATCCAAGTAGTTGCCAAAGTCCAAATTTGACAGCTCAAGTATTCTGAAATAAAAATCCTACCACAGTAGGGAAACTAAATACATACAATTTGGACATTGCGCACTGCTGCCATGAGCAACACACTTGGCATCTCCACTGCAATCAAAAGTAAATCATCACTTCAAAAAGACATACGAAGCAAGTCTTCAAAGTGTTTCAAAGAATCAAATGCTATACATTCGAAACTATCAAGTATAACAGTGAACATACAAACAATAATTGGGAGAAGAAGACCAGTCCCGTCTTCCATCTTCAATACAATTGCTGGATGCGGAGCGTTGTCTGGTAGATGCCCACCTTGAGGGTTGTTATGGACACATCGTAAATGCCTCCCATCCCTCATTTTGATCACAAAACCATCCGATCCACTCTTCACCTCAACTACATGAAAAACCCAATTCAAATTAAAAATTCACGTTTCACCCCAAACAAACCACATTACACAGAAAACTTCATTGATTACTCAAATAGCGCTAAGCTGAGTTTGGTTCGTGTCCGGACCAGAAGCAGATACAGGAAAGATAAAAACATGTTTAGTTTACGAGACAATGACAGTAAAAAAGTGAAATTTTATACTTTCAGAACATGAACATGAAGAGCAAAAACATGTCCCTGTCATAAATGTCTCCGTCTTTTCTATTCTAGACAATAAAAAAGGCTACGCTGATAAAATTCAAAGGCAAACCATACCAGCTTCAACTACACTAGAGTTGACATAATCTCCATGATTTTCATTGAAATTCTCTGCTGTACTCCCATTACCATCTGATGATGAGCTCAAACTACACTGCACTACACTGCATCTTCGCGCTTTTAGTTGCCGAGAAGTAAGAACCACCTTAGATTTGCAACCACTTAAGCCCTTAAATCCCTGCAATTCACTTCTAACGAGCCAACCCTTCACCAAAGGACCAGTCATTGGGAAGCTGTAAGTTCCCGCTTGTTTTGCACGCACAGCAGGATAAATTACTGGTCCTTGCAGTGACCCCATGTCTCCTCCTCCAAAAAAACAAATCAACTGAAACAAGCATATACACGAGAGGTTAAAAATGAAATTAACAGCAACACCGAGGTGAAATTGAAGATGTGTACATACATACATATACATATACATATGCATATAATTTACAATTTATGATCGAAGGAAGAAACCGTATCTTTTCCAAAATTAGAAAAAAAAAACATGGTAATTAAATAATTTTAAATTTCCTAATCGCTTATAAAAGAAAATCAACACTGTTCAAAATTTTATATGATCATCTTCTCCAAGAATCAAACGAAGAATCAAGAAACTGAAAATCAAAAAATATCCAGAACGGGAACGCACCTGAAAAACAACCGGTCACGTGTAAACAGTAAAACCTTCAGTTTCTCGATCTTGTAATTACAATTTTCTGTAGAAACGATCGAAGCAAATTAAGGAAAAGAAAGGATCAGAGGAGATGAAGTGGGTTAGTTGTTGAAGGAGGCTTAAGGAATTGAGAGCATTCAGAGATGGGAGAAGCGACAGGAGGCATCACATGAAAGGGGGGGATGAGAGATGGTGGGCGAATAGATAAGAGATTCTGTTTTTTCGGCTTAGCTAGGAGTGTGTGAGAGAAAGAGAGAAAGGGCGGGGAGAGAGAGGGATATAACTGAAGAGAGGTAAGCTGGGCTTTTCTTGTCGATATTTTTAGAAAATGACAGTTTTAGCCTTGTCAGTCTGTTTAATGGCATATGGGTGGTATTTTAGCTGTGTCCGAATGACAAGACGCCTTGACATGTGCAATTATACTCGCGGTGAAGATTTTATGAATACTCGCAATTATTTAACAAGTGTGCTAAAGCACTGCTTGTACTTTTTTCCAGTCGAAAATCACTACTGAAATTTAAAAATTAAAAATATTTTTTCAACTTTACAAATTAGGTTACAATCTGAAATAATTTTTTTTTGTTCTTTTTAATTACTGAATCCAATCAATTTCAACATAATTATTAATTGATATATATTATAAAATTACTCTAATAAAATCAAATCATTTAATAATAATAAAAAAAATTTCAGTATAATCATGTCATAAAAAAATATATTACCAGCCTAAATATAATCACCTTAAAAATAAAAAATCATACTTGAAATACGAAATATAAATCATTTTTTCCTAAGTGTGGCTCTGATAATTACTATTAGAGTGTCATGGTATTTTCCGTCTATATCCGGACAGTTTTAAAAAATCAAGCTATCACCGAGAGTATACCGCTGTAATATTGTAGTGAGTATAAGGGTATTGTTGTTATTAACCAAGTGGATAAACCATAACGCCTGGGACTGGAGCCGAAGTTCTGCGAGGTCGCATCATTGTTGGCTTTGCGGGCGGCCGAGAATATCAAGGTGCCCATATGACTGCCGCGTGTATAACGATTGGACGGGTCGATCTAGATAAGTCTCTCTGCCTCCTAAGATATCAAATTTCTTGCTTTTTTTAAGTATTCAGATTCACCGGGTCACTGCCCTCGTTTATCGACGCACTGTTATTATGATCAGCCAGTATTCTTCGACATTTACCAAAATTATATAGGAAGTGGATAATTGTCGTAGCACTGGATACAGTGAATTGCGAGAGTGAAATTATTTTTTTATTCTTCATAAAAATAAAAAATAAAAACCTTAGAAAATGGAGGTACTTTATTGTTTTCCACCATTAAAAGATTATTGGGAGTACGTTGTTTTTTTAAAAAAATTAACAATAAAAATATAATTTTACTCTCAAAGATTAATAAAAATTAAAACTATTCAGCAAATATTTTTTTACTTTTTATGAACTTTTAAACATTAAATATTTCCTTTTACTCTATGATTAAAAATATATTACGTTGTTGACTAAGGATTTTTTTTGTTCTTTCCTTTTTTATATATAGTTAAAATATATAAAAAAATAAGGTTGGCATGAATGAGTGCTTTTGTACTTTGACTCAATTTTTTTTTTATATATATATATATTAAGACCACTAGCGGCATTAAAATATTTTTAACGTGAACTTCTTGATTTTCTATTCAAGAAACCTGCTGGCACATACTCATTGGGCGCATGCAATCCTATTTAGTTCTCAAGCATTAACTTTTTTACTGTGTTGTTTTTTAAAGCGTCACCATGTTTTTTTTTTTTTTTTTACAGTATGATATGTGACGGCATAAAATAGTCGGATTGCTGCCTGTGATAATTTCCTTGTGTTTTCTCTCCTCTGAGATAACGTGCACAATTGTTCTTTTTGTTTTTGTTTTTTAGTTTCAATTCTTAATTTTTTTAATTTTTTTTGTTACATTTGTATTTATTTTATAAAAGTTTTGTTTAATTTGATTTAATTTTTCAATTAAAATTTTTTTGTATGTTTTTTAAGTTTGGTTTGTTTTTAATTTAATACTTCAACTAGAGTTATGTATTTTTATTTTTTCAATTTCTACCCTTATTTTTTTATTTTTAATCTATTCTCTTAGCGTGTTTGTTAAGATTTAATTTATTCTAAATTTTATCTTTTTATTAAAATTATTTATTTTTATTTTTTTAATTTTAGCCTTTATTTTTTTATCTTTTATTTTGTTCTTGTTTCTTTTCATAGAAGTTTTGTTTATTTTTAATTTAGTTCTTCAATTATAATTTTTCATGTGTTATTTTATTTTAATCCTTATTTTTTATTTTAAATTTACTTTTTTAACTTTTTTCTAAATTTTTATTGCCTTTCATTTTTTATATTTCAGTTAAAGTTTATATTGTTTTAGTTTTTTTAATTTGACCTCCATTCTGATTTGTTTCCACTTATGTTAGAGATATTTTTCTATTTAATACTCTCCAATTAAATTTTTTTGTTTGCCCTCCAATTATATTTTTTAATTTTTATTCTTGATTTTTTAATTATTATTTTTTTATAATTATTTTTTTCTTCGTTTCATCTTTTAACATTTGATTTGTTGAAGATTCAACTTCGTGTTTTTTTCATTTGCAGCGCTTATAATCTAATAACTTAAATCGCGAGTTTAAAAAGTTAATGTTATTCGCCATCTTTTTTTTGTTTCTCTCATTTTTCTTTACGGTCTTGTCATTTACATTATTTTTTTAATATTATTTATGTGATTGTCTTATGTTTCTTTTCCAAGTTGTATGATTTAGATCATGAGTTTTGTATGTTTTTTTTGCATAATTTTTTTTATAAGAAATTGTTTTTTTATTTGTTGTTGAAATAATATTCTAATTCATCTATAGTTTTTTTTCTTGTTCTACACAGATAAAATTTATTTTTTAATAAAAAAATATTTATTTTTAAATAATATTACTTATGTATTTAGCATTGTACAAAACTTTTTTTTTTCAGTTTACGTTTATTCAATCAGTATCATTCATCTTGTATTGTTATTATCTTTCATGGATTCTAATAAATAAATTCAGTAAATACAATTAAATAAATATTTTAATTTGTGTGATTGAATATTTATATCTACATTCATCTTTTATTTTTTTCAATTTTTATCTTGGTTATCGTTAACGAATTTTTTAAATTTATTTATATAGATAGTTATCATTTTATTTAATTATATGCTTTTATATGTCTTTAGATTTATCATTAAGATAATTTGCATACCAGGTATTTTTGTTTTGAAAGAAAAAATTACAACTTGAGACGAAACACAGGTAAAATAGCTGGTATTTATTAGAAATAATTCAAGGATGTATCAGCATTAGCATAAGATTGTAAAAAAAATACAATCTTAGACGGAATGAAGATTAAATAGTTAGTATTTATTAAAACTGATTTGAGGATATTATGGTCACATATAATTTGATCAAATATTTTTTTTAAGTTAAAATTTAAATTTTTTATATAAAAAAATCAAATCAAATCAATTAAATTACAGGTTTATCCATTATATCAACTAAGATAACTAGAGGTTGACTTGTTCTCACACCCGATCTAGGTTAGGAAATGGCTAAATATCATGTCGACTCGTCATGCGAGGTTTCGTCATAATATTCTAAAGTGGAGGTTGAGTGCTTACGCATGTAATCAAAGTAAAGGGGATCATTACAGAATATATTAAAAGGCCGCGCTAAAACATTGAAGTAATCCACAACACCACCATTTCTTTTAAAAAATTAATTATTAAACCTTTTTTTAATTACATATTTTTTATGTTCCAGTTAATAATTAATTTTCCAAAACTTGTTAAGGATTGAAAAAAATGAAACAAAGGGATCAGAGTGTAAAACAATGAGAAAATCCATGGGTAGTGTAAGAATTCGAGGGGAAAATTTGTCTCGATCCTCATACTTCTCTTCATCTTCCTCTATAGTCTTTGTAATTTTTATAAATTTAAATTTGATCCAAAAATTTATTTCTTTGCATTTTAACTCATTCTAACAACTAGATAAAAAAATAATCTAAATAAATAAATAAAAACAAAATAATCAATTTTTTTTACTTTTCAGTAATAAAACTTATCATTTTTTATATTAATGGGTTCTATCCTACTAAAAAATTTTTAACTACAAGCAGTTGTTCTCATGTAAAAAAGGAGATTGATTTTATTTTTTCAACTGGTTTTAGTTTTCCGATGATTTCTTGGTATTTGGAGATTGTTAAGGTTTTTTAGAGAAGCTTTTACGTGTTCTATAGATATTCTCAATTGAAAATAACTTGCAAATTTTAATTTTTAACCCAAAAACCCTTCCCTGGATCTCTCGGCACCACTTGCGGCAGAATTATGCAGCAAACAACGTGTCTCTTGCTTTTTTTTAGAATAAATGTTTGTTTTTAAAAATAATTAGGCGTACATGATCAATTCGGTAAAGAGACACTTCCTGCTACTTGACACAAGTCGAAAAGGTAGGGCACCTATCAGTGATTAGACAACACGCGCCATTAATTATTTTTGCTTTTTAAATATTAATTGGTTAACTAAAAAAACTAAATTACCCTCCATGGTCTGATAATTAACCAAAAAGCCCAATTGAAAATACCAAAAGGCTACCGGCCAGTTGCATTTTAAATTCTACGACATGGAGGGTAATTAAATCATTTGACTGTTCATTAAAATTGAGAAAAGTCACATATACCCTTGGACCAAATTTTTAATAATCAATGAGCAACATGGAAATACCAAACTACCCCACCCATGGATCTCTCATCATTCATCTGAAAGGCAAAAAAGCCAATGCAATGTAGCAATAAATAGTAATTTTAATATGTTTGCACAGTATTTTTGCCACGTGTTTTATTGTTTTTGTTGATGCTGGGATGCGTGATATGATCAAGCCATCTTACCAGAGAAACGGACATTTAACAATTTATAATTGGTTTGTTAATTTCAATCCCTGACTGATTCAAATCATGAACATGATTTTTTTATTAATTGTTTTTTAAAATTTACTTTTTTTTATAAAAATTTACGATAAAAACAAATTAAAATAACTTTAGTGTAAAATTAATTTATAAAAATCATACCAAATATAATATAAATAACACTAAATCAGGGTAGAGGCTAATTCACCAAAAGGTCATAAATTATTATTATTAAACTCCATTTGCCTTGAAAAATTAATTTGGGATCTGCTTCCTTACAAAGACCATGAAACTGGTTGATTTAGATAAAATTTGTTTGTT